AGATAGATAGATAGATAGATAGATAGATAGATAGATAGATAGATAGATAGATAGATAGATCTATATAGAATCTAAATCTATATAGAATATATAAATGTAAATCTATATAGATATATATAGATATATACACAGACACTTTGCAGCAGTTATTAAGTGAAAGCCGTGGCATTAAGCAATGTGTGTCTTTTGCTGGAAACTGGCAAATTGTAGATTGTGACTACAGGATGCTGCATAGAGCTGTAAACATGAGTCAGTTGTCAAGTGCCCAAAATGTGATCACATGGCTGAGGGGGAGGGGTTATCGTTGTAATTAAAAAACGAGTCGTAAATAGTTTTGGGGCATCCATCTTAACTCTGAATTAAATGACGGGTCATAAATTGAAATCTACTAGTAAATTGGTTAAAATATGCTTTTACCTGAAAAGGAATCATTGTAAATATTTTACATGAATTGCCAGTCACTACTTATCCTGCTATTTAGCATATACTCCAGTAGTGAGATACGACCAGAGCCTGCTGGGAGCACCAGGTACCACTCCTGCTACACTGACTGATGTTCCTAGGAGTAGGACTTTCAAAGCATCAATTAATATCTACTAAATTCCCAGCTCTCTCCCGAATATAAACTAGGCAAGGAGGAGGTGCCTCGTAGTAGCATGCTTTGAATGATGGTTCTAATACCCAATCATCATGTAGCTAGCCTCGTAGCAAGCTTATATATTACATAGCACCTGCATTCAGCATCACATACTTAAATTACAACACAAAGTCCTTTTCCTGACACACTTCATTGTTGACTTCTTCAACAGCCAATTTCACTTTTGCTTTTTTGCTTGCTAAATGTCACCTAAATTGTGGCTGCTTAATATAAAATGACTGGATGTAATTGCTTTTCTTATTCAAGATGGGCAGAACTTCCATCCCACTCATGAACAGTATTCCACATTTTTCCATGTCTCAGAAGTTCTAAGAAATGGAGAATAACAGCCAATGTTGCATAGTAACCACCGAGTGAGAGAAGATGTCCAATTTGGAAGTCAAGAGTCTTTTTACAATTGTAGCGGGAGTCCCAAAGGTGATTTTTCAGGAGACAACTGGGCTTTTTTGTTTTTTTCTTTGAAGACGTTTCACTTCTTATCCAAGAAGCTTCTTCAGCTTGGACAGAATTGTGGAGAATGGAAGGATATCCACTGTCCTGTCAGACCTAAAGAAACATCTTGGATAA